CCCAAAACCCCAAAACCCCAAAACCCCAAAACCCCAAAACCCCAAAACCCCTATGGAGATAATCAAATTGTTGTAGGCGAAATTGTAATTTAAATAAGCTTAAGTTATCTAGTCCAATAATTCTATTATCTATATGTCATAATCATAGATCTTTAGGTCTGCTTAAAGATCTTGCAGCATTCCTCTGGAACAAATCTTTCTGTGATCTATTTACAAATTTATCTCTCATGTTTACTCGACCTAATAGAATCTTGTTGTTCTTCTTAGGCTAAGTTTATTCTAGATCAATAGATTTAGTAGATTTGTTCATCGGAGTAGAGCTGTAGTATTTTAACGGCTCTTTTTTTACTTTCACTTCTTAGTCTTAGTATTGATTGGACATTATTGCTGGCATATCATGTTCGAACCTACAAATATGATCATATTTAAATTATTACTCATTATGAATTCCATATGCGAATGAGTTACTTGCTGGGAGTTTTATTTATCTCCTTTACCTAAATAACATTAATATAAGAGGGATTTCATACTTTCTCACTTTTTCTAAAGGAGTTGGTTCTTAAATATCTTTGTTAAAACCTGAGTAATCTTTATTTTTTGGAACTATTCCTTCAGCAAATGAATGTAACTTAGGCTAGCCCTAGCCTCCCTTGGGATTTAACTATATCATATGTGGAAGGGGTGGTTTCTTCCTATGAATAGGTTCTTACTAATCTTGTTACTATTTTAGTGTATTCATATAGTTATGAGTATCCTTCATTTTGTCTGTGTTTAAAAGGCAGAACTTAAAGAAGTCAATTTCACCTGTTTGATCGTAATCAAGGACTTGGAAAATTTTAAGAAAATCCTCGAGACTCAATCTAATCCCTATATTCTCTAAGCCGCCCATAAACTCCTTAAAGCTCAAATTTCCATCATAGTTGCGATCGAATCCTCTAAATGCATGTCTGAAGTCTTTGAATTTCTCTTCTATTCTCATATGAACATATCTGATCAGCTTATCAGTTTTGTCGTTTGAAGCATTTTTTATGTCAGTTTAATATTCCAAACTTACTTTGAAAGAATTGGAATTATTACTATCTCCTTTAAGCCTTGATGGACAAGACATTTAAACATCAATCACTCCTCTTAGCTTGATATAACTCAGAATAGCATCATCTGACTCATCATCAGGATCTTCTTAAATAGTCTTAAGCATTGAAATAAAGAAATCTTGTGGGAATTTGAGGTTCATTTTGTAAAGTTTGAACAAAAAATCAGACTTTTTTACAAGACCTAGCGGTTACTACTCGCAAGATAAAAATGCACTCTTTATGTCATTCAGATGTCTGATATCTATATTGTCCTTTTTCAAGAATCTTCGAATTCTATCTCGTTCTTGAATATCAAATGTGTTGTTGATTGACGCCTTGATGTACTTAGAGTTCTACTTGTTCTTAAAAATATTGAGTGATTTACTCGCACTTGACAAATCCTTTGATATGTAGGAGTCTAATTCATTTATAGGTGTTTTTATTGTTATTTTTTAATAAATATCCTTGTTTGAATAAGTTTAGCTCATTGAAAGATTATCTTTCTAGTTCTGAGAAATAGTCATCCCTGACTCGTTCATTTTCTTGCGCTATTCATGCATTGATTGGAACATGTTCTTGAAATTCTAGGTTTTATTTAGGCTTTTTGAGCTTTGGAAATTACTCTAACTTTCTTCTTTACTGTTACGCCTGTGCATGAGGATCTTTCGATTCGATAAATCATGGGATCTTTCTACTGTATCAACTCCTCTAATTTAATCCTTGACTGACTGTTGAATAGTCCATTTACTATAAATATATTAATTCTAATCATCTAGATGCTATTGAAGCCATATTTATATTAGTCTTAATCTAAATTACTTACATAGAGGAATCATTCCTTAGTTCAGGAACTAGAGATCTAATAACTTCCTCATAAAGAATATTTTGTGATTTCTGAGGATCACTATACTTTTAAATGAGGAAATCCATATCCCTGTTCTGTAAAGTTATTCCAACCTTGTACATCTCTAATTCGAAGGTCCTAATAGGGACACTTTATGATTTCTCTATTGATTAATATATGTAATCTTATGATTCTTACCTAGATCTTATGTTCTTAATCTCTATTTAAGTAGCTATTTAGTGCTCCTTATCTATTTCAATTTTTCTATGTCAATTTTAGCTATTTTCTTTTGTGTTCCTCCTGTTTAAGAAGGTTATAAAGTAGAGTAATAGGTATCGTTAAGTTTTACACTCATTTTAATTATATTTTTAATATGCTTTGATTACTTTGATTTTAATTAATAATTTAATTCTCAATCACATAAGTTTCAATAGGGCTCAATATTTTGAATGGTCTTTCCCATCGTTAAAGTTCTCGTCGTCTTCATCAAGACTACTTCAAAACCCTTTGCAAATTTCCTAAAAATCATACTGAAAAACAGAATGATGGCTCAAGGATGGTTTATATGGTGTGGAAATAAAGCTAATGAATTTGAAGCGAAAATGACTTTTAGAGCAGCTAATCCGAACACTAAGATAACCAAAGAAAACCTTTATGTGCCGAATATAACCTCTGAGTAAGCTTTCGTGAAGGGTGTTGAATATGCCGTAGAATTGATTGTACTATATGGACTAATTGGAGCTCTCGGTTTTTATGAGATTCAGAAATCAGTTAAAGCTTCAAAGAAACTTGAAAAGCAATTTAAGACATTTGATTCATATCATCAAGAAGAGGTAACCAAAACTAATCAACTTCAAAGCTAGGTTGATATATTGCAAAAAGAATTAAATGAGCTTAGAAGTAGTTTAGCTGATGCTAAAAAGAGTTGAATTCTGAAGAAAGTAGAATCATTCATACATTACTTTATTTAAGAAATAAATTTGATTTGGACTAGTCTCAACATTGTTAGAAGATATTAATTCATTTTATGCTTTGAAATTCCCCGCTTGATAAATAACATGAGGGGTTTTGGGGTTTTGGGG